AAGAAGAAATAGACGAGAGTGGTGAAGAAGAGATAGAAGAGGATGGTGAAGAAGAAAATGGGAGAGTGTGTGATTTAGAAGAAGGCTGAAGAGAAGAAGACAAGGAGGGCGAGATAGCCGAGGCGAGCAGCAATCGAGGAGAGCTGCTATTGTAGACTAATGAAGCAAAAGCCAGGCTACGTGGCAACTGCGTTTTGCGAAAAACGAGAGCGATGCGGGAGAGTTGTATATGTGATATATATATATTTGTTGATTGACCGTTGATTGATATATATATATTTTTAATGCCATTTATCACTATCATTTTTCTCTTCCTCCTCCAGATTCTGACCCATGATTTCCTTTGATAATGTCACAATGGGAGAAATTATATGATGTTATGTATTATGGTATTATTTTGTTATGATGTTATGTATTCTGGTATTATTTTCAAATTATGGTATTATTTGAAAACTAATCTGATGATTATGTATTTATAGTTTGATATTTTAGTCTCATATCATGTCTCTAATTAAAGCTTATTTATTACACATGTGCTAACCTATGTATTTAGAAATGAATTCAGAGAGCATGACTTGAGGGGGAGCTTTTCTTACTCCCAAATCAAATCAAAACATCATTGTGTGCCATCATCAAAAAGGGGGAGATTGTTAGACTTATTTATTTTGATGATTTATTTAATTATGTTTTAATTTATTTGAAAGAGAAAAATAGAATCCAAAATTTATTTTGATGATTTATTTAATTATATTTTAATCAAAATTTATTTTGATGATTTATTTGAAAGAGAAAAATAGAATCAAAATTTATTTTGTCTTATTATTTCTCACCTAAACCTTTATCCTAAATGTTGTTAGAATGTATTTAATATTTGATTAAATCAGAAGTTCAAAGAACCCAAAACAAAGTTCAAACAGCCTAGCACAACAGCAGGCTAAAATGTTCAAAAGGTTCAAGTAGAAGTATTCAAATTAGTAATGATGGAAGTACAACGGCTATAAACGGCTATAAAGGTTTAAAAGGCCAAAAGGTTTAAAAGGTTCAAGTGGAAGATATTCAAATTTGTAATGATGGTGTGGAAGATATTCAAATTGGTAATGATGGAAGTACAATGACTATAAACAGCTATAATTTTCATTATATATACCAAAGCCTCTAATGTAAACAAGTTACAAAAAAACCTGAAAATATTCTTTGATCTATAATCACTCACATCTATTCTCAGAAATTATACACTGAGCCTTATAGCATTAAGCTCATATTTCCTGTGTGAGATTTACAGAAAAATCAAAGCTTCATTTTATATATCTATCTTTGAGAGATATTTATTGTAAGCTTTTTTTGAAAGCAAAAATACCATTTCATCTTGTAAAAGTGTTGCAAACACTGTGTTCTTGAAATCTTGAGAGTGATTGTGAATCACCTAAGATTTGTAAGGGTTTGGACTTGTGAAGTCTGTGTAAAATCCGTGGAGGATTGCTCAATTTGTAAAGAGGTTGCTAGCACCCCTGTGAAGCTAGAAGATAGTGAAAAATCTCAAGTGAAGCTTGAAGAGTGGATGTAGGCTTGGTTGAAACCGAATCACTATAAATCTATTTGTCTCCTCTTCCCTAATCTCTTTACTTTTCTGCTACTGCTATAGCTATCTAATATTCATGTGTTAATCATTTGATTTACCCTGTATGTTAGTTATACTTCATTGTTATTTTGCTTGATCATTTATTGCTGAGTTCATCATTGTGCTTGTAAATAATTTGCTGTACTAGTAGTTAATTTTATTGGGGTATTATTAATTTTAATTTGTAGAAACCTAATTCACCCCCTCTTAGGTTGCTTTTTGGATAACAGTTTCCATATGCACCATCATCGTTTTACTACCACTATCATTGATACCGTTACCACCACCACAACCACGATCACCATGCCACCGCCGCTACCATCACCAGCACCATTACCATCACCATCAACGTTATTGCTACCGCTACCGCTACCACTACTCTCACCACCACCACCACCACCACCACCACCATCGTATCGTCACCACCACCATTACTACAACCATCACAATATAAAAATTAAAATATACAATTTGAAAATAATAAATTTTAAATTTGATCTCATACATATCAAACAACTTATTTTTAGTTCAATACTTAAATTTTTATCAAATAACTTTTCAGCTTAAAAAATTCAACATTCAATTTTTAATACATAATTTTCAATTTTCAATTTTCAGTTTTCTACTTTATCAAACACCACCTTATTTAAACTCTTTTTATCTCATAAACTATAAGAAAAAATTGCATGAAACACATTGACATACATTCTCAATATTATAAAAATAAATAAAATAAAATTTAAACAGTCTCAATAAATTACACCAAATATGACCATAGGCTTAAATGACTAGTCTCCTATATATTTTTTTTTATTGGGCTACTTGTGTTGTATTGATTTTATTTTAATAAGTATTTAATTGTTTTAAATGTGGCCCGATCCACAATTTGACTATGTGAAATCTGGGATTAGAGAGGTTATTGCGCACTTAAGTGGTTAATGGAATTTTTTTCGGGTCTCATACTGACAATTCGAATCGTTCACTTTTTAGAAAATATCAAGTAGAACATATCTGCAACATTTCAAGTTAATTTGTATCTAAAAATTGAATGGTAAATTTAATTATAAATTTGAATACAAACATGACTTGATGGAAGGGATACCGATGTTCGATTAACTTGAATTTTTGAGGGCATGTTTTACTCGATATCTTCTAAAAAGTGAACGGTTCAGATCATCAGAATAAGGTCCGGAAAAGGCCTCATTGGTTGCGCAACAACATTGCTGCGCATCGCAACCGCACTGGTGTGCATGGTGCACAACTGCTCCCCAAGCTCGTGAAAATCTACGCTCTGCTTTTGGTCACCTCTTTTTCTTTGAAAAAATTGTTGAAAAGTCCAAGCTAAGGAGGATATAAGGTATTAGGTCCTATGGATATTTTTTGTTGGTGAGAGGTCCATCATTTGTGAAATAATTTGGTTTGTTTTGAAAGATATTTTGTTTTTAATTTTATCCCTTAGTTTATCTGTTGACTTTTTTTGACTATTTGTTTAAATTTATATCTATCTGTTCCTATATGTTCAAATTTATATTTATTTGTTTAAGTTTTTTGTCTATCTGTTCAAATTTTTTTAATATATCTGTTGAATTTTTTTTCTTATATGTTGAATTTTTATAATCTATTTTTTTTTTCTATCTGTTCAAATTAACACCATTTTCGCTTATTTGTTTAAATCTATCTATCCAAATTTTATTAACTGTTCAATTTTTTCTTTTAAATTCTGTGTTATTCCACTATCTGTTCAACTTTAAGACAATTATGTTTTATCTGTTCACTTTGCAATATCTTTCATCCTCATCATCATTAACGACAACCTTCTAATATATATATATATATATATATGTCATAAATAAATCTCAATCAGTGTACACAAAACTGTAGGCACTTTTGCTTCTGTTCATTATTACCAACACACTAATGGCAATCTTCCAACACACAAATGGGCTAGCATGCATATAAATTCGTTTACTTTTGTACCAGATCTGATAAAACAAATTTGCATTTTTGAGCTTTGAAGATGATAAAGATGACTCATGACACTCGTCGACGGCGGAGATAAGAGGCACTGAAAAGATTTGAGAGATAAGAGGCGTGGTGACGTCATTGCTTCGACTGCGACAAGATGATGATGGCAAGACAACATGTGGTAGTGGTGGTGGTAAAGGTAGATGAGGGAGATTGCCGAGAATGAAGACGGATCGCTGGTTGTTGAGGTAGGGGATGAGAAGAGAGAACGATAGAGAAAGTGAGAGAATGCGTTGTTAGGGTTTGAAAACAATATGTATGCTAGGTAGTTTGGTTATTTGGAAGGAGCTTGTCCTTATAAATAAAGTATTTTAGAGTATGGACCTTTAAGTAAATAAAATTCAAAATTCAATTTATGAACCGAGTATCTTTTTTCTTTTCCTTGGTTCGGTTGTTGTGTGTAAGGGTAAATTAACTCTAATTTTACAAATGGAACAACTACAATTATACGGACACTCAATAAATTGGTTGTGAGGTGGTTTATTCGAAATAATAAGAAAAATGTCTACTTTGTTATAAGATTGAAATTATACAAATTTTGAAAAAAATATATATTTTTTTTCATTAAATTAGGCCTCAACAAATTTTGATTTGTATAATTATTACCAATTGAACTCCATGAACGTGAAAAATTTTAAGAACTATAAATGTATAAAATTAATAGTTTAAAAATAAAGTGGAAAAAATGAGAATAGTTTAAGGAATAAAAGTGAAATTAATTTTTTTAAAACTAATAACTTAAATTGTTGGGTTAATTAACTTTTTTACCCTAGTAGTTTAACCCTCGTTTTATTTTAATCCTGATAGTTTCAATTAGAATAATTTGATTCAAATACTTTAAGTGTAATTTTTATTTGGTCATTCTATCTAAATTTTTGTTAATTTTATCCGTCCGTACACCTTATAAAATTAACAAGAATTTCAAAATTGTTAATTTTAATTTCTAATTTAGATAGAAGAACTAAATTGAAACCTTATAAAATTGAAAAGTGTTTTAAAATTATTAATTTTAACTTTTAATTTAAATGAAAAGACTAAATTAAAATTAAATTTAAAATATAGGAACTAAATTATTTAAATTGAAATTAGAAGGATTAAAGTAAGATTTAAGTTCAATTATAAAGATAAATCTGTACATGTAATCCTAAATTAGATAAAACTGTATGTAATCCTAAATTATTTTAATTATTAAAATGGGCAATCAACATTGATTCATCCCATTAAAAACATCACCACTAATAGTATTAATACATTAAAAAAATAAAAAAAAAACATACAATTTTAAAATTAAAATATCACATCATTAATGACGATACCCACTGACAAGCATTTTTCAATGGGCAATTTAATTGTGGTAGGTAGGTAAAATTTTTTCTCTATTAAACGCATTTTCCGTGAAAACCGAAGCAGAGCAGAAGATATGATGGCTAAATTGTTGCCAGTTTCCCAGTATTGTGTTGTTGTATTGCCTCCCAAACTTGGATTTCATGGCGGCGGCGGCTCCGGCTCCTCCACTGATCGCACCTTTGTACGTTTCTTGACCACCAGCAGCAGATCATCGGAGCTTGGCACATTTTCTGGATCAATTGGCGCTCAACAACAGCACCAAAAGTGGGTTTCGAGGAGGACTAGGGTTGTCTCTTCTTCTTCCGACTCCAAAGCTCCGACTATTATCGTCGAAGAAATCCAACCAGATTCTATTATTGGCGGAGGAGACGGTGCAGGTCACGGCGGAGAAGGAGGCGGCGGTGGAGGCGGAGGCGGCGGAGGAGACAATAACAGTAATAGTAACGAGGAGGAGGGTGAAGAAGCCGAAAACGATAACGTGGACAAGTCATTTTCCATGTCCATGTCCCAGAAATTGACACTCGGCTATGCTGCCCTGGTCGGAGGTATTCTTGATTTTTCGTACTTTTGTGTTCAAGGTATTCTTGATCTCTTCCTGGTGACATACAGGAAATGTATGCTAGATTAATAATTCATCATACTATGGTACCAATCACATCCACATTAAATATGCATAAGATAATCATAATCATAATCATAATCACAAGTTTGGAAAACATCCTAGTAGCTTTAGTAAGAAGATCAATCACAATCCTACTAGTAGAAAGGCACCTTCCTAGAAATTTTCTATGCCTTTACAATTCAGATTAAAGCAAACATTTTTGGGATTGCTTTTGCATCTAATTGGTTTAGAAACAATTTAGTTCAAGTAGTGTAACTAGAACCTTAACTCTTTTAGTCATTCCACCAAATCAAATATTATGGGTGGCTTATTCACATTTAAACTAGGCTACAGTTCTTGTTTGGGTACTTCTGAGCAAAGAAACACAACCACATGTCTTTATTTGAAGCTGCATGATAAACCAACATCATTTTGTGCTTTACTGTGAAGCTTGTTTGGTTGCCTCAAGACAAGTTGTTTCTTGGAGGGGTGGTCCTGAAGTAATAGGATTGTACAGCTGTCCTAGTCTCAGTTGTGTTAGTGGATTAGCGCATACTTATAGTTATAAATAGGCAGTGGCTAATTGTCATTAATACTCAGTTTTGAATGATTTAGGGATTATAATTTCAGAGCTAATCCTCTCTGTACCCAAAATTTGGGCTTTTCTCCCTCTATTACATTGATATTCTAGATTTGATTGCATCATAGAGTTGCAGTGGGGGAAGGAGCCAAGGAAGGGGGTTGCAGGGTGTGGGGAGGGGATCTTGGTTGAATGTGGAGTGGATTTTGAGCAGCAGATATATGAGAGAGAGAAAGTACCTTTGAAATCTCTGTGACTCTGTGATCATTGCAGCCTTGTTGCCTTAAGAGGAGGTGGCTGACCATAGAGAGTCTTGTAGCCTTGGGGGAGGTTACGAACTGAGTTCAAGAAGGAGGTTAACAACACTAGAACAATTCACCCAAAAAAAAAGGACACCAGAACCGAATTGAGACTGAGAAAATCGGAGAAGAGAGGAGATGAGAGACGAGGGTAGATTGTCGTCTGAGTGCCATTTGAGGACTAAGAGTGATTGAATGAATGAGGAGTGGGATATGTTGAGTTAGGGACATGGAATTTTGAGGATTGATTGTGTGTGGGGAGGTGCCCAAAAGTTTCATGTGTAGTACTTACAAGGTATTGCGGGTTCGTTTGGTGGAAGGGAGGCGACCTACTAAAAAAAGTACTGCCAAACATCCCAAACTGTGCAGGTCGGTGTGGATTGGGTGAGTTGGCTGGTTTTTTGCAGTTCTAATGAGTAGTCCAGCTATGATGCCACCTTGTGAAATGTAGCATGAAATGGGTTGCAATTAGTGGACAAACTCTTTTTAGGGATAATTCTATATTTTCCTATCTTTTATCTTCTTCTTCTTCTTCCTTCCTTTTTTATTTTTATATTTTTATATTTTTATATTTTTATATTTTATTTTTTTATTTTTAAATTGTGAATCCATCATTCAGATGAAGCTTGCAATGATTTTCTTTATCAGTTATCATCTGAAGTTCTTAAATCCCTTAGATTTTAAATATGTGTAACCAAAAAAAAAAATGTATGTTATTATTGCTTTGGACTTGCATCCTTGCATGGTTTTGTATCTTATGTGTTATTTTATCGTGCTCAATCCCATTGTTTTTTATTAATAACTAATGATGATAGTTTTCATGAGGCCACACATCTACATGCTATAATTTTTCTTATGATTGTTGTACGTTAGTGTGGAGTAGTAGAGTTTTTTTATTGTCACTTGGAAGGATTTGTTAGAAAGAAAAAGGGAGTACAGAGAATTTTCTTAGAAAAGAAAAATAGTGCATTGAAACACACAACAAACTGAAGAATGGATTACAAGTTGAATAATGAATTGAGTTTATATTGAGCAGATTTAGTGATAATTTTCTTGAAAACTTATATTGGGAGAATCGCTTGTTCCAACTATGATTGTGCATAATTTAGTCAATCACAGCAGCATGTCTTTCCATCAAAGCCCCTAACCCAGTATAACACAAACAGAATTGCCCTTGATCTCCAATCCCTTTCCCAACATCTGGATCTCTGCCCTCATCATTGTGTCATCATCCTACTGTGAAGATGACCATCTTCCACCTTGGATTTCACAATTGCCACCTGCAATCGTACTGAAGTTGACCCAAAAAGCCCTCTCTAACTTTGCTCATGAGAAGGTTATTTACTGTAGCCGATCAGAATAGAACATGCACCCGATTGAGATACTCTTCTACTGCACCTCCTTTTCTTCAACCAGCTTCTTGATTCATTTCCAAGGCTAGGTTAGGCTGACCTGATTAGAGCTCTATCCCACAATAACAATTTTAGCCCTGAGCTTCTAGACCATGCTTGGTTCTCGTTTTAACTTTGCAATTGTAAGCCATTTTCCATTTTGGCCCAATAGAATCTCTTCTCTAGTTGACCAACTGTGTGCCTCTCCTTTCATAGACCAATTCTCCATGTCTCCTCTTGCATAGATTCTTATCTTCCTCTCTACTTAAAACACCCAAACTGGCCTCTTCTTCTCACGCTCCATGGCCACTGTCACGAACCCACTCACCCCCTCCCTTATTTGGGAAAAACATACGAGCGTTGATCCTATTTTAAAAAAATTTCAGCCTTAGCTGGATAGGCCCTTACTAATATGACACAACATTTCCTACCGTCCATCAAAACCCTTCATCCAGTTCCGTGCATCTTTGACACCTTGTCTTTGCTAGAGCAACAGTTTTTGCAAATCAAAAATTCTCACATTGCCCTAACTCAATTTGATTGAGACTGATTTTTAACTCTCTTCCTCGAGTGATAATTCTTGCCAATCATAGTTTGTGCCTCTCACACCACTTAAAATGCTTGATATGGATGTTCGTTATGAATGAATATACTATGTTATTTACATTTGAAAATATATACAGGACATTCTTAGATAGTCCCAGCTACTAGGGGACATTAAGTTAGTTGCATATGTTGAAATCTTCTTTGCTACATGTGTGGGTTTGTTTAACTGGTAGCCAGTCTGGTTATTCGTTTGTTTAGCTCCATTGGATGTATGTTATCATCTTTTGGAAATGAAATGAATATGATGCTAATATGTTTCAAGCTAGTTAAGCTGTTTGTTCAAGTATGTTATTTTCATAAGAATGAAGATATTCATTCTTATTGTAGCTTTGGTTTAATGTTATTCATTGGGTTTTGGCTCACCCCTCTCCCCCATATTTGTGTAGGTGGTGGTAATAAGGCATGAAGATTTAGTATTTGAAGCTATGTGTATATGTGAATAAACATGGAGGCTTGTATGCCTAGTTGTTGAATGAAATGCTTGATGTTTGAAAGCTTTGTATATATTCAGCCTTTGAAATAACAAGTTGTTCTTCTCTTAGTAAAATTTTGTACCCACCTTTGTGTTTGAGCCTGGGAAGGTATAAAAATGAATAAGGAATGTTTTATTTCACTTATTTACGCACTTCCTCTGAATGGATGTTGTCGGATAAATAGGTTACAAATTGAAGGCTTCCACTATACAAACAAATTTGACCCCAAATTTTACAGGAGTACTACATGTTTATTCAGTTAAGCTGTTGGTAGTCTATGACTACTGGTCAGTCACTACTCTATTTCAGTTTGAGATGGGATAGGGTCGTGACAGACATAGTGCAGGAAAATGAGAAACTCTTTCTAGTCAAACACATCAATTTACACATCAGAAATTTGATCAGCTGTAACAATAATAGAAAAAGATGGGGTGGTGTGGGATAAGGAAAAAATAAAGGACTAATACTATTATATGTTTACCTTGACCTTAATTGTTTATTTGGCATTTGGCTTTTCTCCTTTATTTCTGACCATTTTGCTAATTTTTATGTTAGTGGGTGGAGTTATGGGCTATTTGAAAAGTGGCAGCAAAAAGTCACTGATAGCTGGTGGACTATCAGCATTGCTACTGTATTATGTTTTTACTCTGCTTCCCACAAGACCGGCTTTGGCATCATCCCTTGGATTTGGTAAGATTTGTATCATTGATCTTGCAATCTCCTACACCAATGTTACATAACAACCTTTGATTTTCGTGTAGAACAGTATCACCTATTGACCTCCACAGGTTGTTGTTTGTCAGTCGCAATAAAATATTTTTCTATGCCCTCTTTTCTTCATTTTGCTTAACTATTCTTCCCCTTCTAAATTCTAGGAAAATGTGATTTGCAAATTAGATTTACCCTACTGAAGATGAGAAAAATAATAAATGAGTTGAAGTCTCATAGTCAAAGAAGTCCAAAACATTGCATTTTCTCTTGATTAGAGAAGTTAAAGATATTTTCTTTCAAATATTTTTGCATTTATCAGTATCAGATAAGGCTAAACACTAGTTTCTTTGTTAGAGATTTGACCATGTTATATTCATTCACTATAGCTGTTTAGATCTATTGTTGCTCAGGTTGCCATCTTAGTTATGGAAAATAATGTAGAAATAAGGTAATTGATTTTAATCCTTTTTGTCTTTGGCTTAGAAACTGGACTAGTCAAAATATATACTCTGTTTAGATCCGTTGTTGCTCAGGTTGCCATCTCTGTCATGGAAAATAAGTAGAAGATAAAGTGATAGATTAGTCTTTTTTGTCAGTGGGTTAGAAACTGGACTAGTCAATATCTATCTTCTATCTATCTATCTATCTATCTATCTATCTATACTATTATAAAGTGAACACCTTTTATGGTGTTTTGAAGCCTTGGTTTCTTATGCTGTCATGTGCTTACTTTTTTATTTGAAATAAAAAAAAAAAAATTGAATTGATAAAATGAGGGGATTTGAACCTTAGACATTATGTCAAATGAATAAGACTCTTACCACTTAACTAGCACACAATATATGATAAATGTTTTATTTTATTTTTATTTATTTGAATTGCACACGCATAGCCTGTGGCAACCGTTAGTGTATATATATATATATATATAGTTTTAAATGAAATAGCCATCACAAATTTTTTGGAATAGGTTCACAAAAGGTTGGGTTGAAGCCTGTGATGACAGTTGGGGTTTTTCTGTGAGACGAAAATATGATAACGCTGTTAATGCATCCCCATTATTCCTTGGTACCTGATGACCTTACACAGCAATTGATACCATTAGGACAAGCAAAAAATTCAAAATTTAGGTTTTTGCATTCAAATTTAGATTATACTTATTGTTTGGAACGGGTGGAACACCCAAACACAGGTTCAATGTCACAGTTGAGGAGGAACTTCCATGTTGTCCAAAGTACACCATTTAGCTGTTCAATATCAGATAAGGCTAAACACTAGTTTCTTTGTTAGAGATTTGACCATGTTATGTTCATTCACTATAGCTGTTTAGATCTATTGTTGCTCAGGTTGCCATCTTAGTTATGGAAAATAATGTAGAAAATAAGGTAATTGATTTTAATCCTTTTTGTCTTTGGCTTAGAAACTGGACTAGTCAAAATATATACTCTGTTTAGATCTGTTGTTGCTCAGGTTGCCATCTGTGTCATGGAAAATAAGTAGAAGATAAAGTGATAGATTAGTCTTTTTTGTCAGTGGGTTAGAAACTTGACTAGTCAATATATATATATATATATAGTTTTAAATGAAATAGCCATCACAAATTTTTTGGAATAGGTTCACAAAAGGTTGGGTTGAAGCCTGTGATGACAGTTGGGGTTTTTCTGTGAGACGAAAATATGATAACGCTGTTAATGCATCCCCATTATTCCTTGGTACCTGATGACCTTACACAGCAATTGATACCATTAGGACAAGCAAAAAATTCAAAATTTAGGTTTTTGCATTCAAATTTAGATTATACTTATTGTTTGGAACGGGTGGAACACCCAAACACAGGTTCAATATCACAGTTGAGGAGGAACTTCCATGTTGTCCAAAGTACACCATTTAGCTGTTCAATGTTTTTTGGAATTCTGAAGCCACGAAACTCTCATTTTCCTGCACCAACAGGACCTTTGCATCATTTTCACTTAATATTTCACAATAACTGGTCTCACCGTTTTTTTGATTTCTTCTAATTTCCAGGCCTTTCTGCTGCTCTTCTGGGAGTAATGGGCTCTCGATTTAAGAAGTCAGGAAAGATATTTCCAGCTGGTGTTGTATCTCTTGTGTCCCTTATTATGAGTGGTGGCTACATCCATGGAGTTTTGCGCAGTCTGCACTGAAAATGTTTAGGTTGCCCTTGACTAGTTAAGTAGTTTCAGTCGTATTTTTTTTTTTTAAATTTTATTTTTGAATGATGTTCGTTTGGGTTTGGTTTGGTTGCTGACTCTAATCCATATCTACGTATTAGTCTGGCATGTAATGTTAGTAATTTGGTATTTTGGTATATTATGAAATGCGGAGTTTTGAGGAATTTGTGTTTTTATTTATATGCACTCAGATTGTTGGGGCATTTCTCTAAATAAGTCAAAATACTAATTCAATTCTCAAACTAAGCCTAGTTTTGAAAGAATTTTCAAAATAGGCTAAAACGTGGTTCACAACCATGATTTCAACGTCTGTGCGTCTGTCTCGCGTGAAATTTGGAAAGTCTTAAAATCTTGGTTACAAAATGCGCTTTTAATTAAGAAATTGCAGTTACAAATCGCGCTTTTAGTTATATTTTTTTCTTCTTCTGAAAGCATGGTTGTGAACCACGATTTTAACTTAAATTTTTTTTCTTTTGAAAACGTGCGTTTTTTATCAATTTTTTTTTTTTCTGAAAGCGTGGTTGTGAACTATGCTTTCAATACACAAATGATATTGCTGCTTGGCGTGCTATTGGACCAACTGATACATCAAGTCAACACTCATCAACCGTTGGTCCAATAAATTTATTTCATAAAAAATAAAATAAATTTCTAAAAAATAAATTTCTAAAAATAAAAATATATTTTTAAAAATTTACGTTACCTTAGTGTTTAGGGATAAAATTTATTTTTTTTATTTTACTAAAATAAAAATAAATAAATTTTAAGAATTAAACCCTAAACCCTAAAATAAAAAAATAAAAAATTTATCCCTAAATACTAAGGTAGCGTTTGGTAACGTTTACGTTTTTTGTTTATATTTATGAAAATTTTATAAACTGATTTTTATTTATTTTTAGAAAAACATAAATTACAAACGCGTTTGGTTTGAACAATTAAAATAATTAAAAAATAATTGAAAAATTAATTTTAAAAAAAAATAATTGAAAAAAATAATTATTTGAAAAAAAATTTAATTGGGAAAAAAATAATTGAAAAAAATTTAATTGAAATAAAAGAATTATTTAAAAAAATTAATAGAAAAAAAAATTAATTGAAAAAAAATAATTAAAAAAATTATTGATCTTAATTTCAATTATTTGGTCTTATTTTTTTTTTCAATTATTTGAAATTAAGACCAAATATATTTTTTCAAATAATTTTTTTTTCTTAATTTTTTTCAATAATTTTTTTTCCCAATTAAATTTTTTTCCCTCATTTTGTTCAAACTAAACGCGTTTGTAATTTATGTTTTTCTAAAAATAAATAAAAATCAGTTTATAAAATTTTCATAAATATAAACAAAAAACGTAAACGTTACCAAACGCTGCCTTAATATTTAGGGATAATTTTTTATTTTTTTATTTTAGGGTTTAGGGTTTAATTCTTAAAATTTATTTATTTTTATTTTAGTAAAATAAAAAAAATAAATTTTATCCCTAAACACTAAGGTAGCGTAAATTTTTAGAAATTTATTTTATTTTTTATGAAATAAATTTATTGAACCAACTGTTGATGAGTGTTGACTTACTTGATGTATCAGTTGGTCCAATAGCACGCCAAGCAGCAATATCATTTGTGTATTGAAAGCGTGGTTCACAACCATGCTTTCAGAAGAAAAATTTTTTTGATAAAAAACGTGGTTCACAACCACGTTTTCAAAAGAAAAAAAATTTAAGTTAAAATCGTGGTTCACAACCACGCTTTCAGAAGAAAAAAAAATATAACTAAAAGCGCGGTTTGTGACCGCGATTTCTTAATCAAAAGCGCGTTTTGTAACCACGATTTTAAGACTTCCCAAATTTCACACGAGATAGGCGCACAGACGTTGAAATCGTGGTTGTGAACCACGTTTTAGCCTATTTTGGGAATTTTTTCAAAACTAGGCTTAGTTTGGGAATTGAATTAGTATTTTAGCTTATTTAGGGAAATGCCCCCAGATTATTTACCAATTTTAAAATGGGACTGGATTGGCAGCTCAACTGAACTATCCAGTCTGGCCCATTTTGGGTCCGTTTCGGTGATCTGAGCAGTTTAATATGTAGAACTCGTCGAGTGCTTCATCTTTGCAAAAAATCACGTTGATTGGATATTGATAACCACTTGATCAGGTTACATTTATGTCAATAATTTTGTTTGTTAAAAATCATATTTATTGTTGATAGAAATGTGAACTGATCAATTGACTATCGATATGCGATCATCGTGATTTTTTGCAGGGATGAAGTATTCGGTGAGTTCTATATATTGGTTTGAATCATTGATTTAAGCTTCGTGGTGAGTCCACAGAGGCCTAGTAGCATGGTCTAGTCTAATAAGGACTGGAGACAAACCTAGGCCTCTTAAACTATGTTTGGTTTAAGGATTTGAGAAGAGATTTAGAAAGGACAAAAGGAAAGGGTGTAAAATTAGGTGAAATGATGGTATATTTTATTTATATTTTACTTATTTTTTCTTTTCCATTTTTTAAATTCTTGAATGAAACATAGCCTTAGAATTAAGGGATATGCTTTGTTTTGGAGCTTTTCTCTTGCCAAATTCACATAGTTTTAGCACGTGTTTAAATTTGATTTTGTTTATAATAAACCTTTCAAGTGGTTTGAGTATAATACAAGAGAATGAGGCCATGCTGCTCTCAACACGATAGATAGAACATGTAGGAGGAAGCACACAACTTCCACTGGAGACCAAACAAGCTCAGCTCAACCATTAATATAAAAAGGAGAGAGAATATTGGTGAGACCAATACAATGAGTGCCAGCCAAAGAGTAGATGCTTGATTCCTAGGGATACTCAAAAATTGATCAATGTAACATAAAGTCAAAATACAATCACCTCTTGGTCTAATGGTTGTGTAGTATTATTGTATGGTGTGAGATTTTGAACTCAACTTTTATGAACAAGACAAATCTAAAAAAAAAAAAAAATTTTAAAATAAAGATTTGTAAATGTGAAATTTTTATCGCTATTGATAGATAATGCATGAAAGGGGAGATCTTTAGTGCATCCAATCAAAGTTTAAGATGTTATCATGTCAATTACTTTAATCAATGGTTGAGCAATAATCAAGGCCCCCTGACTTGAAGGAAACAAATCCTAGAGGCATTTGGACCAAATGTGCTGGAAAAAGAATGATCTTAATGGGGTCCATGAGATTCATTTAAAAACATAGTTGATAGAAATTATGACCAAAATCACTCACTTGAAGCCAGTGGTGGTGGTGGTAGGAGAGAATATAGCAATGGTGAGAAGCACTAATAGGTTAGGTGAGGGCTTAGCTCCTCCTCCAACACAAAAACATTACATGTATGGGACATGTTTTCTTTTATGAAGGTAAAATTAAGTTATATATTATATATATATATATATATATATATGAAACAAACAAAATTATGTAAGGACTACTTTTCCCCTGAAAGTGGATTCTTTTCAACCTCCTTCCTTCTGAGGTTTTAATAGGGAACATCATAGTGATATAGAGAGATAGAAAGAATGCTGTAGTATAGAAGTATAATTTAGGGTAAATTACACTTTGCATTTGCACCAAATTTTATTTTAGTTCCGACACATTAAATTATGACAATTAACACTTTGCGCTTTTGATCAAGTGTCAGTATCCTTTTGTTATTTTCCCATGTAAGTCTTTAACAAAAGTTAATAATATGACAAGTATATGAGTACGAAATAAGGGCAAAGGAGGAAAATCACCCCCATTTCCCACCGATACACATTTCGTCTCAAAATTTATATTCAATTATGACTGCATTCGGCTAAAACAAAATTTAGATTGTAAATAACTAAGGAGATAGTTTCGTAGAAATTGAAACCATGAAACTCTATATTTCACAACAACATAGTCTTCCGTCTATTCTTTTTTTTGCTTTTCGATTTCTCTGTTGCCTTTTTTGATTTCAAAAGCTTTGTTTTCTTACTTCTTCATCTATATATATATATATATATATTATAATTTTCACATGTTTATCAAATGGAACAAAGTGTGTATCATGGGAACGATTTTTTTCTTTTCTTTCATTTCGTAGTCACATTTTGTCACGTGATTAGATTCTATTAAAGACTTAAATAATGGAATAACAAAAGGAGGACATTGACACTTGACTAGAAGTGCAAAGGTCGACTATCATGATTTCATATATAAAGACTAAAATAAAATTTGTTGCAAAGTACAATAATACAAGGTGTAATTTACCCCATAATTTAATTAATGTGTCCCCCTGTATTCATCATGAATCACACATCACAGTAGATTTTTTATTTTTTTATTTTTTTTGTTTTTTTTTTAAAGACATTTTCTTTTATTAAATTAACTAAAGCACAAAAGCACAACCCCACCCCCACCCCCCACTTATCACAGATTTGTTTTCCTTCTTTCCGTCCAAAAAGCGAAAATGAGAATGAGAATGGGAAGGGGTCCTGCTGCTGCTTGCCCATCACCACAGAATGACACTAAAAAAAATAAATAAATGAAAACTACCTAGCTAGCTATAGAGATAGCTGGGAAAGTGCATTGAATCATATAGTTGACGGGCTTAGACCTAACTTTCTTATTATTAAAGAATAACAAAAGGAGGATATTGACACTTGACTAGAAGTGCAGAGGTCGACTGTCATGATTTCATATATAAAGACCAAAATAAGATTCGTTGCAAAGTATAATAATACAAGGTGTAATTTACCCCATAATTTAATTAATGTGTCCCCCTGTATTCATCATGAATCACACATCACAGTAGATTTTTTATTTTTTTATTTTTTTTGTTTTTTTTTTAAAGACATTTTCTTTTATTAAATTAACTAAAGCACAAAAGCACAACCCCACCCCCACTTATTACAGATTTGTTTTCCTTCTTTCCGTCCAAAAAGCGAAAATGAGAATGAGAATGGGAAGGGGTCCTGCTGCTGCTTGCCCATCACCACAGAATGACACTAAAAAAAATAAATAAATGAAAACTACCTAGCTAGCTATAGAGATAGCTGGGAAAGTGCATTGAATCATATAGTTGACGGGCTTAGACCTAACTTTCTTATTATTAATAGATGCCTACAATCATCTTTAATTAAAGACTTTCGGATCCGGGGATCCCTCTCAGGATATTCAAAACAAACCACACACAAAGAG